AATCAGGCACCTGATATGTACGATAAATATAATGTGCATTAAGAACGTATTATATAAGATAACGGAGATTCCACTATATAATAAATATTCCGAATTTCAAACTAGTGAATGTATAACGCCAGATAATGAAGGCCCTTAACTTTTAAATTTATTTTGTATTTGAGTTCCAGCCAGATGAAATTGTTCTATGTAGAAACGGTCTGAGACGAAGAAGGGAAATTTGATTATGGGAGCATCTTGGAAATTACCCGCCTCTCTCAGAAGCACACAGACAAATTTACGTGACTCAAATGAAAACGACACAATTCGTAAAATAATTACATCTCCCTTTCCTAATGAATTCTGCATAAAGCCCAAAGTTAACGAAATTTAATTATTATACAGAGTGAAAAGTATATTTTGTTTTAATTATTGCGAGATATTAGAGGCTATGTATATTTTATTAATATATATAGGTACTATTATTTCAAACTGAATAACTCGTAAACTACGTTCTTACGTAACACATATTATGAAACAAAACTAAAAATGAAAATTAAGAAGTATAATAAACTAGAACTATGTTGCTAACGATAGTTTCTATAAATAACACGCTTCATAAAATCGATCATTTTGCTCCACTCTATTAAGACTATAGATATAATTGACTTCCATTGTATGGTTTTTACTAAAATTCAAAATTAAACTTGTGTATATATATATTTTTATTATGTGTTATTATATTATATGTTATGGTAAAAGTACAAAATCGTTAAATGTATAAATTTACCAATTTGGTTGGTAAATATAAGTATAAATCTGAGATCAGCTTCATATATCTACTTTTACAGGTAAATGTACACATTTTCAAACGTACATAAGTAAAATTTTCAAATAACAAATATGATACGCTATTTATATAATAATAAATAATATATAATTATTTAAAATTATTATTATAAAATAGTGATTAAATAAAATTAATAATAATTTTAAATGGTTATATATTATTTATTACTTTACAAGCAGTGCTATAATGTCACTGTGAATAGCTAATTTTCAGCTATTTTTTTTTGTATCGAACTTTGTTTTGCATTATTTTTGCAAATCGTTGTCCTCCAGTAGTTAGATAGATTTATTAATATTTAGAGATTCCTAACGACCACGACAGCAAAAAAGGTAGTAGTCTTTAATATTTCTTGAATTGAATTTTACTAATGAAACATTTCAATGCTTACATAACTTTTATTTTATTCGCATGTCAAAGGGTTAATAAACAAAATAATAACCTCTAAATATGCATGTTTATAAACGAATACACATTTACCGAACCACATACTTTTACCATGAATACCATTTTCATCTATGAATTCACGTATCGTGTTGTGCGAGTTATTCTCATCCGATGGCTAGATTTCATCACTATTATAGCATATATTCACTTTCGCACAATTCTTTCAGCTAAATGTCACAAAATATTTCGTAAAAACAGTGATTTTCAACAGTTATAGCATGAGAGGATCTTAGGTGTACCACGATCATTAGTTAAATTTATTTTTTATATAAAATTCACTTAAATGTACCTTGGAACTTTAAATATAAGTTCAAGTGTGCCATGAACACTGGTTTAGAACATCATTGCATATGATGTAATAGTATACATTCAATTTCACATTCACTTTTACCAATTATACTTATTTCAAAAGAAGCTGGATCAACTGTACAGGGCCCCGCGCTTGCAGAATCAGAATCACTTGGAAACTGAATGAAGAATTATAAAATTTTAATGTCTTTGCTTTTTTGGTATGATTTATTTTTCCAGGTAATTTTTGTAAGCAACTTCAAAGTAATTCAGTAGACATATCAACAGCGCATTTTTCATTTGAAAAGGTCAGTTACGGCATTTCTAAACCTATTTGTTGCCCTTCAAATATATTTAACAATGAGCGCAACTTATAAAAAAAACTATTTAAGATGGACTCAGAATAGATTAAACACTTTAGCGATCATATCGATTGAAAGTCAAAAAGCAAGTTAATTAGATTTTGATACTATTTCAGAACAAAAACTTCGAAACATGTAAAACATCTCTTTATAGGTTTATATTAAAATTCAGTTATATGTACCAAATATAAAAACAATGATTTATATTTGGTACAAGTTTTTTAATGTAGAAATTTATCTACCAGATGGTTCATAACATTTGATTTTTATTATTGGATTTTGTTTTACAGAAATATTTATAATCTATATTTAAATATAAATTGTTAATTAAAGTTTGAGGGGCCCCGAAAAAGAAATTCAATCGGTCCTCGCACTTATTGGATCCGGCCCTGCAACTGTATAAATAAAAGCATTCTTTCGGAAAATAAATAAATTAAATATTACTGTTAAAAATGCATACGCTACGGTTATGTATGAAAATGAATGTAATCATATCTATGACATTTTTTTTGTAATTAAATAATATTATCATCGACATTAAAAATCCAATAACTATTCGTACCTTTTAACACCTACATCAATATATATATTTTTCATTACACTCTCGCCAATTCGTCTGACGGTCGCATCTTCCAAAGCATCCTTTATTGTGGTATCTTTAATAACCTCGACCCAAATATTACAAACACTGATATTCACTCAAGTACGCCAACGTCACAGTAGTCGTACCGCATTCTAAAACGCTAAATTCCGTAATTTCCGGTGCTTAGAAATGCCTTAATCACTATCATATTATAACTTGTAGCTAAACCCTTCTAAAACAAATCTGAATATCGTCACCTCAATCTCAAATATTAATTAAATTACGTTTCAAAATATGAAATTAATATTATCAATATCTACATTGCTACCTATAAAATTGGTTGTAGAAGTGCACATCACTTAATGCTGATGTTACCCAAAAATTTATAATTGATGAATTAAAATCAGAATTAATCTGGATTTTGAAATTTTAAAAGCAAAACGTTTTTCTTTCTGAAATATTAAGTCATATATTTCAGTAGTAAAGACAAAATGTTTAGTAAATATTCATTTATCAAAAGAACATAATACAAATATTTGTATCATTAATAAACTAAACTTATACTTATTAGCAAATTATATAAGTAAACGTATACAAAAAGTATTAGCGCAGATAAAGCATTATATAATTTATACCAATATATGATAAAATAATGAAGAATATTGAACTAGTATTTTGTATTTTCTATTAACCACTGCCGAGATCGTATATCATTTCATAATTTAATCTATATCTAAATGGATTAAAATATTGCAACAAAATGTATGTGCAAAAATCAATTTATCTTATTCGCCCGTACATACATTGTCGAGCACGTCGGGATGAAAAGTTAATTAATTATATTAAAAACTTTCGAACGCCAGAAAAGTAATTTATGGATGCGGCAAAAATCAACAAACAAACATTACCCTTCTGCGCGAATATTTACCGGGTGGTTTGGTTGAAACTATACATAAGTGTAAAATGTACCAATATTTTCGGATATATCATTTGTGAAGATCAATCAGATTTTTTTCGATGAACATTGTAAAATTTTAACAATGAAAAAATAAATAAAAGTAGTTGAAAAGTATGCTATTGTCATTATGCCCATTCGAAATATGCATAGAATCTTACGATTTTAATGCCGAAACTGAAATGTCTTTTCTAGAGCTTAAGATCTAAAGATTAAATTAATATTGTATGAAATTTTGGTTGTATTGAAATGTGTCATAATTATTTAAGATCAATTGATTTAATCAACGATACGACAAATTATATACATTTTATTAAAAACCAAATATCTTTTTTGTATACTCAGTAATCAAAAAAATATACAATTATAAGTATATACGTAAATTGAGAAAACACTCTAATCTACAATGAATATTATAATGCAATCAAATTCCGTTGGAAACGAAGCATTAGAAAAGTTCTAAATAGACGCTTCATCCATTACAACTAGAAAATACATGTCTTCTTTGGAAACAGAATGGTTTATAGAATAAGCGTATTATCCAACAAAAAGAATGAGAAGACGTAATATTGCTAATGAACCTTTGCTTTGGACTGCTATGGGATATAATTTCATAATAAGTAATGTATAATGTAAAAATGTAGTAAAATAATTACGTAATTTCAAATTTCTAAATAAATCTATTAAAGAATTTATGAGGGAAAATAAAATAAGATGTATCATTTGTCAATTATTTATTATTTTTTTAATTCATTAAAATGCTATCAAAAATGAATATATAGTAAGTAAACATTCACTAAGATACAGAAACGCAGAAGAAATTGTGCAAAAGAAACAGGTGTATCTTTCATTTAAAGAAAACTGTAGACATTCCTTTCTTCCCATCACCATCACAAAAGCTACGTGAAAATAGTAAATACAGAGGAACCTCGCTTAACGAGCATAATCTATCTCTTACTCGTAAAGCTAAACAAATTTTCCCATGTAAATTAATGTAAAATAAGATCATGCGTTAACCTTGTTCTAGCTTTTTAATGATTTTACGTTTCAAAGATAATGTCTGAACACAAATGTTGAAACTCATCACTCGTTATTCGAAACATCGCTATTTAAGCGAGTCATTTTTGTTAGAATTTGGATCGTTAAGCGAATTACTCGTTTTGCGAAGTGCTCGTTAACCGAGGTTCCACTGTATATAAATACGGAATCACTCCAGTATATGTATATGTGTTTATGAATAAATAATTAAATGCGCCTGCGTTTAAACAAGTTTTAGGAAAACACATGTTGCTTATAAACAAACTACCTAACCTCAATATTTTATCATCGAGTCCATAGATAAAATTAAATGCAACTTTTCCATATGTTACATATGTGTATATTGTTCAGTGCGCTGTGGAGATAGCAAAGTGTGTATGTTACAATGGAATTATATGTTTTTTTGTTAAAGTGCACGCCCAAAACAAACCAACAAGCCACTCCAAAATCAGAAAGAAAAATAGTGAAACAAACAACCAACTACGTACTACAAATAGTTACCTGTTTGATAAGAGGTAGCAAAGTTTGTTCTATACTACGGGTCTTAATTTCTAAACAATCAAAATTTGATGTACCTACAGCTGCCATTTTCTACCACTACTTTTAACCTATCTTTCTCTACTCTACTATCACCCACTATCATTCCATCTCTCAGCCAATAACCTATTTTACGAGCCTGACTCCCAAATGAAACCCAACATATTATTTGCACAGATTTTCATTGCTCCATCTATATGCGAGATTTCGAACACCTTAAAGAACTCTGCACATACCAATTATTTTCTAACTTCAGGTTTATTGTGATAACAATCAGATGCAGTCAAATGGTTTTTTAACAGTGTTTAGTAATTCTCCATAAGTATTTGTGACCTAGTCTATACCAGTTAATCGCAGTTAATAAGTAAGCATGGAGCAAGTTACTTATTTCAATGAAATATCTTTGATGATGTTTGGCTTTGGTGACAGTCATAAGCCAAATACAGACACAGTGAAACTGGTTGAAAGTATTACTCTAAATCAATTAAGACTAATAATTCATGAAGCTGTTAAGTATCAAGAGGGAAATTCTTTAGGGGGTGAAGAATTGGTGTTCCTTATGAGGAAAAACAAGTATAAGATGAGGAGATTTATCAAATACCTATATAATAAAGATGCAAAACATAGATTATCCAAAGGACTTGTGGATATGTCAGGCACTTCCACGAAAAACACACTGATAGAATTTGTAGAGAAAATTGATGAGACTGGTGAATTGACAGATTTAACAGAATATGATGAAGTTAAAAATGAAAGAATGATTAGAGCTGATAGAATATCATTATTTTTAGATGAAGAAACATACTTGAAATTCTCTCAAGCCAGGTGCACCTCTTTCAGGAACAAAAATATGAGCAGTGCCAGGGATTATGAAAAATTGAAGCAGTGGGTTGACCCAAGAAATGAATTGAATTTCTCAAACTTGGCATTGGATGTACTGTCTTATTATGCATACGAGACTGTTGCCCAATTAACTGACTATGCACTTCTTGTGAGATTAGATCACAATAGGAAAGGGGATCCATTAAGCAACTTGCAAGGCACATATTTTTCTGCAACAATGTTTAATGGAGAACACAGATTAACTAAAGAGAACATAGATTACAGCAAGGTTGGAAGTTGCCAACAACCAATCACAGTTAATGAAATTAAGGAAGTAATGCGCAGGATATGTTCTCCACAAGCAGGAAAATTAAACTTCGGAAAGAAATATGTGGAATCTCATCAAATAATTGCTATATAATAACCATTTTATTTTATTTACTTTTTTTGCATCTATAGGTGAACCAGTCCTAGAGAACATTTTATATTATTTTTAACGTTAATAAATATTATAAAAATCTAATTTAGTTTAAAATATAATAAAAATATATTTAATTAAATATAAAATCACAGAATGTTTGGTTTCTTTTAATTATGAATGTTAAAGGGGTGGACAAAATTAAGATCATTTAGTTTTTAATTCTAAATTGAAAATAATTCTGGATTTTATATTTCACATGCGAACGTTTTTTAGCAACAGATCGTAACTCTCAAAAAATAGTTTGTGCTTAATATGTGGCAGACTATCTTTGGCTTTACTTTTTATTTCATCAATCTTCTGCATCCCATCTTTACTGTAACACATATAAAACTTAATGTAGTTGATCCACACATCTACATCCTCGTTCCCATAAACTTTACAGGCCTCTGTATGTATTTCATCCCACCATGACATAACAGATTTCTCAGCCTCTATACCCTGTAGTTGGCACATTGAATTATACATCTCCTTGGAAGGCATCTTCTTCCAAAGTTCAACATACAACTTCTTACTATTTTCAAAGCCATCAGAAACGATAAGCCACTCGATATATTTTGATTTGAAGATGTTCGACACATTAGCACCTTCAAGAATAGCCATTTCATAAAACTCGCGAATCTCCTCCGTAGAGGACGCTATCATATGGAAATTTAGCATCAGTATCCAAAATTGAACGATATTGGACAGCGGACACTCTTCAGCAATCACTGATAGAACCTCGCGTGCCAAATTGAATACTTTTAAAACTTCTTTCTTCTTACCACCGGTTATCTCGTATTTTAACCACATTCTCCACAATTCTAAAGATGTTGGTATATTCTTTGTTGCGGCATGTAAAATAGGTCCCTTTTCAGACCACTTGGACAAGTCTAACCATATAATGTAATACCTCTCTGATAAATAACCTTTATCAGATGCTCTGTTGAGAATCTCTTTAAATTTATCAATAAACTTTTTGCTATCTTTGTATTCATAAAGAAAATCTGCATATGATTTCATTAACCTCTCTTCCCTTGTCCCAGTTAACAACTGAAGTCCTTCTTCATATTTTTCAATACATTTCTCAATTTTTTCATCTTCCGTTGCCTTTTCTCCAGAGGTACCATAAGGAAAACCTAAGCAATTAAAAATTCTCATTTAGTATATAGTCATGGTTTAACTTAGATTATTAGAAATTTGCTAGAAGCAACTATGAATTTCAATTACAGTTGCATTTATTCTATTTGCTAAAAATTGAATTTAAAAATAAAATATTTAATAATATACCTCTCTTTTCACGTTCAATCAATAATAACCAAACACTATCATTGTCATTGTAATTATTAATTACATGTTCAATAAGAAAATCCTGTACTGGCAATGTATAAACAAATCCTTGGAACCAACGAATTATATATATGTATGAATCTGCATCCTTCATGTTTTTCATCATATGATGCAGATAGTCCATAGCCAATCTATTTACTTCTTCTTTATCTTGTTTTTTCTCCTTATGGAACATTTCGATTTCAATAATTTTCAAATATAATGACTGACTATCTGGATGCAACTTGAGACCATCTTTCAATACATTCACACTATTCTCCAAATCATAATGTGTTGTCCAATAACATTCAGCAGCTGCAATGAATAATTCATCTTCACTGAATGGAAACTAAAATAACCATTATTATATATATTATATTGTCTACATATTATTTTTCATGATTTACCTTTTCATGCTCCCGCATAATCAATGTTATCATATCAGCAATTCCCATTGTGTTTCTTTCTTTCTCACAAAACTTAAAATACTCATAGCAAACAAATGGGGTATGCAAAGTTTCGAGGGCTTGTTTGAAAAGTCCCTGGATCCGGAGAAAAACCTTTGTCAGAACAGGCTCAGCTAGTTTTCCAGCACCTTTTATCTGAGCAATTATGCTACATTCATAGTCAATGCAAGACTTGTAATATTGCCAATTGCGGACTTTCAGTTGAGCTTCCAGATTTCTTCTGGTTTCTTGAATGTTTCTGTAATCAAAATAATATAGTACTTATCTACGTAACTTTATAAACTATCATACCTTATTTGACCTTCATTGAAAACTATTCTCATTTCCTCATAATCTGAATGCATTTTAAGAGAAATAAATAGCAATTTACAATAAATCAAATATAAGTTTAAATATAACCAAGAAATTAATAAAATACACAACAATCTTATAATACGTACTACCAACGTAAACGCAAAGTAAAGAAAAGTAACTTTCTATTAACTTACCAGGATTCAACGGTAACATACTCAATTCCCTTTCACATCTCATACTGATTGAATTTAATTGTCTGAAAAAAATATAAAAATGTTAAATGGTTTGTTTTTTTATATGTAGTGTATTTTTTCTATTCCTATTCCTTTGCTAACATTTCATATATTAGTGTTTATCAAATCAAAACTTACTTCGAAATATATAACTTTTTTTGTAATTGTGTTAGATTATAAATTTGAAAAGGCTTTGTTAATATAATTGAACCAGAATAAAATAATACAGTTTAAATAATAATAATATCTATTGAACACATATAAAATTGTAATGCGTTTTAAAACACTAACAAATGTAGTCTAGAAATAGACTATCTGTTGCATTTGCTTCTTTTGTCGTTTTTTATTAAATAATTGTGATGTTTACATTTAAAAGTATTTGTAAGTATTTTGTTTATTTTAATCTATTTTTTCAAATGTATGCAGTCAGTAATACGGACTTTAACATATATACAAGTAAAAACCATGATAAAGTGTGCTAAGATAAGTATATTTTGAAATTTTTTTAAATTACCCCGACTTACAAACAACCCTTTGGAAAGTATATTTCGCAAGCAAAGGACATTGCAGAAAACAGAAATGCATTTTTTAATAAATAGATTTATATCAATTATTTTTTCTACCCCGTAACGGTTTTTTCCGCACCCACAATTTTTTTGTTGCTTGTGAGGACCGAACCAACATTTTTGTATCGGATTTTCGTGTTACAGGTGGTTATGATATTAGTACACCAGACACAGTTTTGAATTGGATTTATAATCACAACCTTGAAGAACTTTTGCCAATTGCACTGATATCAATAATATTCCTATCAACGTTACCTATATTTTTTCTAAATCAGAAATAATTGAAAATTATGCAATAAAATATGAACCTGGAAAATTTTATTATTTAGTATATAACGTTGAAGTACTACGAGAAGCATTTGTGAAAATGAAAACACGACAAGTTCTTTTCATATATATACATAAATAAAATGTATAATGTTAATATATATATTTAAAAATGTTTAGTAATGTAATATTAGTTATTTATGTATGGAAAAATTATCGTAGAAAAAACACATACACAGTAAAAAATTAATAAAAATAAATATTTGAATGTAACTATTTTCTTAAGAATTTTACTAAATTTTCCATATTTATTAGATATAATAACCATCGACCATGAGGATATTTTGTATTGTAAAAATGTATTACTCTAGTCCAGGGATTCCCACCGCAAAAATTGAAGAAAAATACATAAAGTTCGTCCTGAGATAAACCAATGATTTTACTTGGGATGCCGCGAAAAAAATGTGATATATTAAAGTATGCCCGAAACCGAAAATATCGCGATTTCTGAAAGATCATAAGTTTATAAAGTTCGTAAGGTAAAAAATATTCCAAACGCTCTGACAGAATGAATAGTTCAGAAATTTGTTCAACAAACCAGCGTTTCTCAAATTTTTTGCACTTAAAAAATTGAAAAGTCTATGGGTTGAAAAACATTTTTCGCGACCCTCCTGGCGACCCCCACTTTCAGAATGACTGCAACAAACCATTGATCATCAAAATCAATGTGGTCACTTAGAAAAGATCTCCTAACTCTCCAGATCTCGATCACTTTGATTTTTACGTGTGTTTTTAGGAGAGAGGTCAATAAACATCTCCATAACACTAAAAATATATTAAAAGCTGCTATAGTCAGATTAATGTCTGCTATGAATCATAATCATTTAATTGATGCTTATCGACGATTTAGATATCGTATAGAAGTAGTTATTGATACTGACAGTGGTTTTATTGAATGATTTTACAAAGAAATATTATTATGTCCTTATTTTTTTTGTAGAATTTTTTAATTTTTTGTCGAGCATAAATAAGTCCTCAAATATCTTACGCACCCGGTATATATGAGTACAATTTTATTTCCGATGAGGTAGGATCATCAATCCAAGGACGTTGCTTAACATTCCTAAATAATTAAATATCATTGCTACTTTGCTACAAAATGATTAATTAAAAATTCATTAATATATTGCTCCATTAGTCATATTCCTTCTAGATACAAAAATGCTATTAATAATCTCAACTGATAACGTTTTCTTTAATTTCTGAAGGATTCAATTAGCTTCCTATTTGCGATATCTATGGAATAAATAGAAAGTTAATCATTAATTAATTATATTATAATTGTGAATGTATCACCTATGTTAAAACTCAAAAGAAATGATAACTTATTGATTTTGCAATAAATTGTATCTATTTGGCAAGAAAATTTTCCATCCTGATATCGCAGGCATTTCGATAAACTTCTGTAGAGCGAGCAATCAACATATCGAACTAATTAAACATTTTAATTTCATATACAATTTGCTTCGATGCAAAATAATGCTGTGCATTATCAGAGTATCTTTTTTCTATATTTGTCTGGCAGCGTGCTGTTCGGTAAAAGTGATGCAATTGAAATGATAATCTTCCATTATATGTATGTGTGTGTCTGTAAGTGTTGTTGTTAGTACAGTGGAGGTATTCTAATTGTTTCGATCAAAAGTAGGTAAGTAGGGTAATAAATGACACGAGCATAGCATACACAGTGCTAGAACTTTAACTTATTATCTCCTATCTCTGGGCCTTTGTACAAAGGATATATAAAATGAGAACGCTAAAGGAATTGATCAGAGGGTGACCGCACTTACGAACTGCAACTTGCATTTAACACTAACTACACATTCACACTACGCACTCAACAATGACGAGCGCCATTATCAAGTGCTTTTATGTTCTTCTGGTCAGCTTTTTCCTCTACATACAATTTGCAAGCACTCTGCCAGTTGGCAATCCAGAAACCGTATGTATTATATAAATATATTATAACTTTAGCAGCCCTTATTCATTTCATTTGCGAGTTCATTGTATCTGCAGTGGCTATATTTACTTTAATTATTGATTCGTACAACGTACCATGGAATATCCTTCCCTATAGTTTCCAATTTTAAAATAGTAACACCATGCAGAATTAAAAAAAAAGTTTTTTCATAACAAACTAATTTAATTGGACGAGAATCTAGTTCCCTGGCTTACTCATTATTGTAATTATTTTTTTCCTATAAAAATATCATGAAACTATTTAAATAATTATAACGCGTTTTGCCCTTTTCACCCAATTGCTACATGATGAAATAATAATGTCTTATTTCCATGACAACGAAATTATTATCTCAATCGCATGACACTTCTTCAGAATTGAAAATAACAAGTTTTCAATAAATAAGTTAATTCATGAACATTTAATTCTGGCACATTTGACCTACGATGATCTTAGCCGGAATAACATTTTCGGATTAAATGTTTATACCGGGAAAGTCTAGAAATATAATAAATAATTTATAAAATAGTTTATAAAATAATATGATACATTTATAGACAAAATAAGAAGGTTAAATACAATACTTAATGCGTAATTAAAAGAATATAATAATTAACTTATACTATTATTATACTCTTCATATAGTTCAATAATCTTATAATGACAAGTTAAATCCAGTTAGGAGTGTAGAAGTTCTACAAAAAAAATAACATGTATCATTCACGGACGTCTCGCACTATTAACCGAATCAAGTGGCTGTATTCAGGCATCAATGAGCTTTAATTTTTAAATAAGAAAATTCATTTTAAAATCCCTTTATTGTCATTGAAAACAATGGATTGTGTTATAATTTCTCTTTATTTGTCTGCTCGAAACGTCTCAGCAACATAATAATATATATAATAAGTAACATAATAGAATGTTTCATATCTCACCTATCTAATATATAAACTGAAATAGGAGTGATAATCGTGTTTTAAAAATATCGCAATGCACATATTAATAACAATTTTGCATCTTGTTAAGGCGTATAAAGTCCAGACATTCGGATAAATAAACATCGTTCAAGGCAAGGTTAAAGGGAATTGAAATCCACGGATATATGTAAAGAGATAGACGAGATCAATTAAAAAATGCAATCTAAAGAACATGATAATAAGTTCAACATCCTTAAAAGACAAACTGAATCACCCATCCGCCGGATAGAGAAGATGTGATCCAATTATCTTATTTACACCGCATTCGTAATGTATTGTTACGTTATGTGCAAAAAAATATAGTAACCAGCATGAAAATTCGGTAAACTTTTGGATAATCGAGATGAAATTTATACATTAATCATACATGTTATGTTGTATTTCACGAATTCATTCACGATTAAAATGGAATTTCCATAATTTCTTGATAACATTGTGGTTTTCCAATAACTCGCACTTTAATAAATAATTCCTAGTGGATTTAATCTAAACTTACTTATAGTAATATCACAATAACATAAATAGAAATTAAATTTTTAATAAAATTAATAAAATAATGTATTGCATTTACGCACATAAACATAAAAAAACTATTGGACGCAGTCTGTATTATTAAGGAATATATTTTATTGTAATAGAATATTAAAAAATATTGTTACCAAGACTTACGATTACCTTTTTAATCCAGTAGTTGCTTATACATTCCACATTCGAAACAGGCGTCGGGAATCAAAGTAAGTTGATGTACTACTGCATACACGGTTTGGTATATTTGTATGTTCTGCGAAATTATACCCATTATTTCCTGAAAATAAAGTTTATTAAATTAAACATTAATATTGTTAACAATCAAATTATGGTACTTTAAGAACAAAGCAATAATTACGTATTTGTTTAAGATACGTAATTATTGCTTTGCATGACATAATTATCATCATTCACTATACAAATGCAAGACGCGAAAAGACCCCCTTTTGTTATATTAATTAAATGGATACATTTATTTTTCAGACCGTGGAAGTTATGTTACAAATACCGCAATGGCACTGCATGAGGTACAGAAAATTCGAACTTGTTCGGCGATGTCGAAGCTATAAGCATGGTGCTAGAAGAAACTGAACATCGAACATGCGTTCATCTTTAATTATATTTTTTTAACTCTTTTACTATTTTAAACATTTAATTTATTGTTACACTGTATTGAATATATTCTATAATTGTTTTTTATGAATAATGTATTTGTTGTTATTGTTTTGTAAATATTATATTTTTATACGATAGTTTATTTCTGAGAATATATTTCTTCACGTACGATGTGTAGGATTTTAATATTATTAATTTTATAGTAGGCTCTAATTCTTAACATATATTTATTAAAAAAAAATCTATTTATATACATATATTCCACGCAGAGGAATATTGATTAAGTTATAACAATTTTAATACACAATTTTTCCATTTTTAATACTTCTATTTTAAGATATGATGAATAAATTTGTATATCTCTAAATATAATTGTTTTATTTTTGACAACAGCAATGATATTGAACATATATGTACATTTTTATATTTGTCAAGAGTGGCAGCTTATCTTGAACAATTTTTTTACGAATCCTTTTATATATAAAATGGCTTCTATTAAAAATAACGATAGGAGTAGCATGAGTTTATTGCAAATACCCAGAGTTAAAAGAGAGAAAATGCTAAAAGCCGAGAAAGAACGGAAAAAAACTGCCCTTCGAGCAGAACTACCAGTATTAAATCGAGAGCAGATAAGAAGATTTCGATTGCCTTATGATCAAGCAATAATGGAAGAGCTAGAGGAGAAAGGATTCACCAATTCTCGGGAATACTTAAAGCTGCTGATGCAGTGGCAGGAAAACTACCGAAAAGAACATCATCATGAAATTGTAGTAATGGCAAGACCTCTACTCAGACACACAACAGTTGTATTGGATTATCTCTCGGCAGGTTTTAGCGAGGCAGAAACTGCACATTTCAGTGGAGAGTTAGGAACCGAAATCGATAAATTTTTATTATTAGCAATACATTACGGATTTGCTACAAACTCAGATTGGTATTGGCTGGCCGACCACTTTTTCGCTATGAGTATAGAAATAAGTAGTGATTACAAGGCAGACGGTGGATTTCGAGCAGCACAAGTACGTTATATTTATGGGAAATACTTACTACAGCAAAATATAAACGAAGATCAAGGTATCGATATCTTAAATGAAGCTTCCGCCCTGTCGGAAGGAAAGACTTGGTGCGCTACAAAAATATTAAAAACACTACAAAAACCAATTTTCATTGAAGTGTCTAAATTACTTTACGCCACTTTAATTATAAAGGTTCAAAACAATCTACTTTCAAATCCCGAATTAGCCTTAGACCTTTGTTATATGGCGAGAAAAAGGGCATACGAAGCATGTCTTCCACGAGCTGACATAATGCTCCTGCAAGGCAAATGCGAAATTGAAAATTCTATGGCAGATAGGGCGGCTAATTCTTTCAAAAAAGCTCAGCTCTTGTATAAAAGTTCGGGCATTATAGAGAAAGATTGCGAGGCAAGAATTTGCTTGGCATTGGCCTATTTGGAATTGGGAAAATGGGAGAAGTCACATGAGGAACTTATTAATCTATTAACCTTCGCCGAGTCTAATAAATTACCACAATATGTAGGTAAATCTTATCTGTACATAGGTCAATACCATTTAAATCAAGGAACACCGGAGCAATCCACACCATATCTAGTCAAAGCACTGAACATATTCCACGAAATAAATGATGTGGCAAACCGAGAGTTCGTCAAGAACTTGGCGGCTGTTTCAAAAGGTCAGGAATTTGTTGAACATTTTGTGAGTTTGATCTTGCGTTGCGAGTCGGACGATGGTAATAAAAGAGGAAGAAATTTACTGCGATTATTACATTGGAAGGATACGCGTTTACCTTTCTGGGATGATTTAACTGAATCTTTGAATTCTGAGTACGAAAGTATAAAGTCATCCATTCTTGAGGAATCTCTAGATGAAGAATACAGTGAAGAGTCTGATGAAGAAGAGCAAGATGAAGAAGAAGAAGAAGAATATGAAAACTGCAGCAAATTAATAGAGGAGATACATTCTTCCGAAATGCAATCATCATCAAATTCGTCACAAAAAATTCGGTTTAAAGAGTAAAAATGTTTAGTTCATATCAACAAATTAATAGAAACTCAATTATTAGTAACTTGTTTAAATCAATTTAACCTTGCTTTAACAAAGTTTATGCATTAAAGCGACTCCGCATCGAAAGTGTTTGCTCGAAATATCAATGTACAAAGTAGGACTTTGCGTATTTTCTGAGTGACCTTAGGCCAACTAATGTATAGTTAAGTGGACTAAAATATAAATAAAGAAAGAACTGTAAAGAAAGAAAGACTGTAAATAAACAAATCGTATACGAATTTATTCAAATAATTGAATAAATTCGTATACGATTGTCATCCATCAGTCTTAGATTAGATTACATATTTCATACTGCAATATTCAACTAAAATTATTCACTGTATATATACATCCGAGTAATTCAGCTATGGCTTTAAGTGCAAATTATTGTATTGTATGTTATATTGCGATTTACAGTACCTATTTGAAATTAATAACAATAATAAAATTTCAAATATTTGGAATGACTATGGCGATCAGTACAAATGTAAATACAGTCTTCGAGTAAGTCTTCGAATTAAGTGATTAATTGGATCCGAAGGTTTTCTCGTAAATCGAGGAAAGCACAAAATTTAGCATTTTTGGCAAAAAAAAATATGTTTTAGTTTTAAAGGATAGATGGAAGTAAAATAGATCTATATATATACACTCAAGAAAATATTATTTATTGGACATACCAAGAAAGAAATTTATTTTCAGACTAAAAAAGAAAAAGCAAGCGCACAACTGAGAAACAACTAAAAACTCGTAAGTCCGAAATCGCGTAAGTCGAGGACTGACTGCACTTTTTAATCCAATTGTAAATACATAGTTGCGCGCGCTTTTGGAAATACGAAGAGTTTCTTATCGTAAACACCATTGCTCATTTCTTCCATCATTGACCATTGGCGTCATCTACGTGTCTTAGTTTGATGTTCCGTGTTTGCCCATGCATTGTGGCATTATGTCAGGTTTTATAAAAACGGCAAGGAAATTTTCAGAAATTCCATCACCAACAACTCTTCCTTTGCTTGGACATACACATCTTTTCATACCTGGAGGTAAGATCCTTATAAAAATGTCAATATGCTATGTAGTCTACTGCACAAGCACATTTACTGTTGCATACTAGGTACTTACACCTCCGAGAAATTGTCAGAAGCTGTTGTGGATTTGGGAAGAAGATGGGGTCCGATTTTTAGACTTAATCTGGGCGGAACCCAAATGGTTGTCACGTTAAACGCGAATGACGCAAAAGCGATATACAGGGCAGAAGGAAAATTTCCGCGAAGGCCAACGTTCGAGGCGCTTATGCATTATCGTCGGAAAAGGTTCAACAGCGTCGGCGTGGTACCTGGTAGTGGTCCGGAGTGGCAACACTTCCGAAAGGGTATAGCGCCACTTTTGAATCAAAACATTGTCAATAAATATACTAAACAATTGTATAATATTGGCAATAATCTAGTCAATTATATAGGTAGAAATCGAAACAAAGATAATATTCTTCATGATTTATTTCAACATTCTATGCTTTATGCAATTGACTGTAAATATATTATATTCTTTTTTAATTTGGTTTCAAATGTCAATAATATTTATATTTAAGGTATTTCAATTGTATCTACCAGTAAACAGACGAGTTGTCTGGAGGAAAACGGAAAAAATGAATCAGAAAAAATTATTAAAGCAAGTAAGGATTTCATGGAGGGCCTTTACGAAACTTTAATGGGTCCACCGATATGGAAGTTTATAAAAACGAGCGGCTACAAAAAACTTGAATCATCTCATGAAATAATTTACAAGTAGAAAATATGGATTATTTTATTGTTTTCAAATTACATTCTATTTTTTAAGTCTCATTCGAAAGGAATTCAATTCAAGCAATATAGATGAGTCGAATATATTCTTATGGAAATTATGCAAAGATAAACAATTTTCACGAGACGATGCATCAATGATAGCTGTTGAAGTATTTTTAGGTGGAATAGATGCAATAGCAACAACTTTAGCGTTCACCTTATACTTTCTAGCAAAGAATGAGAATGTTCAAAAAATTGCTAGGAAAGATTTAGATGGACAGTATTTAAAAGCTTGCGTGAAAGAAACACTCAGACTCAGGATGACAGCTGGTGCGAATAGTAGGTTTATAGCTGAAGATGCGATAATTAGCGGATATTCTGTACCCAAAGATGTAAGTTATTGAAATTGATAGAAACATTTTCATATTTAGATATTTCAGACATTGGTCTTACTATTTAGTTCGGTAACAGGACAAAGTGAAGAATATTTCAACGATTCTAAAAGCTATATTCCAGAGAGATGGCTCAAACCAGTGCATCCTTTTGCTTCTCTTCCTTTTGGTATAGGTCCTAGGATGTGTCCTGGTCGCAGATATGCAGAAACTGAACTTCAAATAGCTTTAAAACAGGTGATTATGACAAAAAATAATATATTCATATAATTTATATGTTTCACTAGATTTTGAAGAGCTACAATGTAAGATTGGCCAACAAGGATGACAGTGATATCGGCATGGTATATAGGATGAACAGAATTCCAGAAAGGTCCATAAATATTAAATTTATAAACTTATAGTCATTTTCCATATATTCTATATTATATATACTTGTTTTTTCCATATATTTTCATATTCCTTTTATTTTTGATACAAAATTTGAAATTTTCCTAAAATTCTTTTAATCTCTTCATATTTACATAAAACAGAAATTACACTCTGTTCAATTGTTAATATTTTTTATATGTTGAACATTATTTGCACTAAATTAAAAATAAAATATATATCTGACCCGGAATCATATCTCAACAAAAATATAATAATTTAACATGTTTTGATCTGTCTTTTGATAAACAATTGATATCTGATTCCTAAGGTGCATTACAATTTAACAACATTAATATAAAAATTAATCATATCTCTATAAAATAAAATGAGGTAAATATCAAATGATATAAACTTAATAAAAGTTATGTACATGATAAATATAAAAATCGGAAATTTAAAACTTACACTGATAAAAATAAAAACTAAATCACACACGTTACAATTAATAACAATTATATATGTATATATATAATGATGATAAAATATGTTGTTGTTTCTTCGTGGGATGGGGAACTATACACATTTATCTACAGATTATTAAAATTGTCTTTGGTTAATTTTGTCGAATTCTTGTTTATGGTTTTCATTAATAGAATGATCTCGACATTGGATCGTATGGCTGACGTATACTAAGGTAACCCGGTGGTGGATACGCGCCGGGCGCTAAAAGTCCTTGATGCAGCACCCCAGCTTGCAAATACTGCTGGTAGAGTGGGGAACTTGCATCCATCAAAGTTCCTTGATGATGAGGAGGAGGAGGCATGAAATGACCACCAAGTGGAGGATAACCAGGCCTCGATTGTGGTGTGCCAAGAAATGTGTAACCTGGTGCAGGCGGCTGAGGATTGGTTGACTGATGAGCAGTCCTAACATTTGCTGCAGGTTTTTCGGAGCCCCCTTCAGTGGGAGTAGTACGATGATGAGCGTAGAGCAATTGAGGAGCAGAACGAAAATCCTCCAAATAATTAGGATACGCATCTGAAAGACCTGTACCTAATCCTAAACCAGGCGCGGTGGGACCAAAATTAAAGGCACTACCTGGTACACTTGCTGTTTTTAACGAAATAGCGCTGGGCTCCATTGATCCGGGATTTTTGTAGGATTGGAATCCTTGTGTTGAGACAGCCGTAGGATTCGTTTCCATAACAGTGGATGGTGTAGGATTTACTGCTATAAAGATCGTCATACATTAAGAATAATAATTAATTAAAATGATATAGTAATAATACCTGCTTTTGTTGTTTTACGTCTTTTGGTTTTTTTCTCTTGCATTTGCTGCTGAAGTGTCGGTGTGTTAACCCCTGCATTTCGATCCTGCCCCATCATATTAACAGGAGCTGGACCTTGTATTTCGGACATAGGTCTATTGTACATGGCATTATTTTGGATGTTGTGAGTATAAGCAGGCATTGAATTAGGTTGTGTGAACATCGATGCATTAGGTTTACTAAACATATGTTGTGCTGGTGTCATGTTATATGCCGGTGGAGCGCTAGATTGTAAACCCGGTAATACCCTTTCGTCATTCGGATATCGTTCCACTATATGTGAAAGATTAGCTAAATTTCCTCTAAGATCCATTTCTAATGTTGTTGGTGCACTGTAAGTAGGTCTTGGTATTGAAACTTCAGATAAACTTGTTGTCGGTTGATTTGGAGCTTGAGATGATTTATAGTTTATCATATTTGTAGCTGCATCAGGGAAACGTATTTGTTGCTCAGACGTCTGTACATTCTGTATCGTAGCCTTCGGAAAATTCAAGTCGGGTTTATTGAATTGTGTAGTGTTGCGTGTAAAATCCATTCCCGCAGCACTATTGTAAGCTGGCATATCCGTAAATTTGGACAAATCTGTAGATTTTCTTGCCTGCTGCATATCTGCAAATTTGGACAAATCAGTAGTTTTTCTTTCCTGTTGCAGTGCCCTTGATGGTATATTTAAAGGATATGAATCTGTATTGTAATTGTAAGGATTTGAAACTGTTGGGGAGAAATTCCTCAAAGCGGCATTATCTTGCTGAGGCCCACCAGTGGTATTTAATATAACACCTGCACTTGATTGATTTTGGATCATCTGCGAATTAGGCATTGATCTTGGTTCTGGTATATTTTGATGTACATATTTGGCCCCTTGTCCTTGTTCAGTTGCATTGACAGGCTCCAATCTGTAAGAAAACCATAAAACACACAATGATTTGAGATATTAATATGTTATAAATTCTTACCGATTCGCCATTATTACTGGGGCTTCTATGTTACGAGTAGTAAATTGTTGCTCTTGAAATTGATCTATTTCGCTATATGCCCTTTTCTTTACTGGAAAAGTAGTTGGTGGAGGAGCAGAAGCATTTTGCTGTTTTACTATATGTTGCTGTTGTTGTGTCTCATTAATCATTTGCGGACTCTGGCGGTAATTTGGATCTAATGTTTGACTATTTCTATAATTATCTAAAGAATATAATTCATTTTGTTGTTGTGATGGTGGCGTTTGCTGCTGCTGTTGTTGCTGCTGTGGGTGGATCATATGACGTTGTTGTTGTGTAAACATTGTTTGATGCATTTGGGTCATTTGTCGAGATAATTGTCGTTCTTGCTGAGGTTCTTGTGATTGCATCGCATTATGGTCAATCTTTGGAACATGCAATTGCATATTATCTTGCTGCTGATATTTGGGAGATATTTGTTGATGAGTCATAGCTTGTGTCTCTTGTATATTTTGTTTATGTTGTATCGCCATGCCTTGCTGTTGTTGACCCTGCCTATTATAATTCGGTGAAGGCAATTGAGATTGATTCTGTCGTTGATATCCTTCCATTGAAAGTATATCCATATTGGGACTATTTTGCTGATACGAGTCTACGCTAGGCGAATTTTGTTGACTCAAACTAGGTGACTGCTGAGGCTGATTAATTGTGGGAGAATCTTGTTGGTTAATCGGCGAGTGTGCAACTGGGCTGTTCACTGGTGAATTTACACTCTTCGTCTGATCGTAATAACCTTGATTACTTTGCTCATTATTATATGGTGGTGTTGGATTTGAAGTTGAGTAATTTGGCGGATAATATGGATTGGTGTAGCTGTAATTTTGATTATTTGGATACATTTCACCATATTGAGAATAGGGCGATTGTGGATTATCTCGTGGACTACAAGATTTTTCAGGACTGCTTTTGGTAGAAACCGTGTCTTGATAGAAGCCAACACGTATTTGCCCATTATTAAAATTATATTTTGGAGAGACATCAGGTCGAGGAGATGGCAAGTTAGGAGACGCTCCAGAAGGTGATTTATGAAGTGGAGAAGGATAAGGCGCAGGATATGCACCAATCCGCTCGTCAATGCCAACCCGAGGTGAATCCATATCTTGAGAAAAAGAAGAACGTTCAGATATGCTACTTCCAGTACTGACCTTACGTTGTCGCGCAATCGGCTGTCCAACTTGCATGACCAAATTGTCTGAATTTGGCGACGGTTCAGCGACAACTACTTTCTTTACTTCGTCCTTTTTAACCTCTTCAATCTTTTCTTCCTTTTCTGGCTTCTTGGTCGTTGAAGGTTGTACTTTAGGAGCACCGAAGGCTTTGAACCAGGCACTTAAGTTGGGAGTTGCAACGCCCGGGCTATTATCTAATTTTATCGGTTCAACTTTAGCCTCATCTTTAACACATTCTTTTTCTACACTATTTTCACCAATTTTCTTTTCAGCATCTGCCAAAACGTCAGTTTTCTTGGTATCTTCCACATCCTTTAATTTGCTCTCTTTGATTTCATCATCAACGAATTTATGCTCGCCAAAACTGTCCAAAACCGAACCCAAACTAAGTTTTGGTGCAGTGTCGTCCGTTTTAACAATCAGCGAATTTTTAGTGTCCTTTATTTTAGATAAGGGACCCAAAGGGAAAATATCATCTGTCTTAGCTGTACTCTGTACATTAGTTATCAAATTCCCTTTGCTTTTGCCTGGTTGTAAACGATCTATGGTACGTTGGACTTCTTTCCGCCGTTTGTTGGGATCTCTTTGAAACGGTCTTTTCTTTGTCTCTTTTCCGACATCTTTCTTTGGTACCACAGGTTTTTCAACTTTCTTTTTATCTGTCGAAATAATTGTTCATAAAGATTAATACACGTGTACGTTATTATATCCCTTTATAGATTATTGACCAGGAATGTTTGTCTTAATGGTATAAAATATCTTGCATGCTTATTGAATTATATTTAATTACAAAAAAAAGTATATTTACCTATCTCCACGCTGATTTTAATTGGATCGACTTCATCTCCAAAATGTGATGGTGAATTACTTGCTGAAGTAAAACTAGGTGAACTGTCTAACCACTTATTGATGTCCTTCAACGTTTGCTCGGTGGCTAAGTTAAGAGCATCATATTCGAGAGGCTTCGAATTATTCCCGCTTTTCTTTTTAGATTTCTTATCCGACTGTACACTGTCAGCTGTACTATTGCCATCCTCGTAATCATCTTTCTTACTAATTTTGGCTTTCTTTTTTAAATCTACATGATCCTTTTTAATATCCTTTGGTTTCTCGCTCTCAAACTCAAATACTTTCATATCTTTACTTAATTTAGTCATGTCTGATTTTGCTTTTAATTTCTCAATTGTCTCACGTAATTTATTATGTTTGTCTTTATGTTTTGGAACTTCACAATCTGTTTTTTTATCTTTATCTTCATTGACGGTTTCTTTTGACAAGTCATTTTTTACTTTGTTTTTACCTAAAAAAATATATATATAAAACGAATTTGATGATTTTCAAATAAAATACCTATTTCATTTACAACATCCTTCACGGCACTGTCTTTCTTTTTTGAATTGTTTTCTGGACTTGAAGGTGGCCATGATGGTGGTGGACTGACACTCCATGGTTCCCTAGTTGGACTTTTACTTTTTCGTCTTTCAGGACTACTCATAGAGGGTGATCGTTTTCTTTTCTTAGCAACTTTCTTCTTTTCCTCAACTTTAGGTTTACAAACAGCTGCTTTTTTATCAGATTTTTTACTTGCTGTTATACTTTTTGCCTTTTTCATTTCCTCTACTTGATCAGACTTTTTTATCTTAGCAACAGTTGTCTTACTTTTTAGATCCTTCTTATTTTTAACTTCATCGACTTGACATTTTTTAGTTTTTTCTGGTTCAGGTTTCTTGGATTTTGGTAATTCACTTTTTTTAACTTTTTTCATTTTATTTACTTTCTCTGTTGTCTCATCCTGTTTCCGTTTATCATTATCTTTAACTGCTTTGTCTGTTTTCTTAACCTTCTCTTCTTGTTTACTCTTAGATTTATCTTCCTTCTTTGCTTCTTTTATCTTAACTAAATCTAACTTTTTGTTACTTTTCGTTTCAGTCTTTTTTAATTTTGTCACCTTTTCTTCAAAAGGAATTTCACGTGGCTTTCGACCTCTGCCTCTTCCTGGACCCTTCCCTGTTTTCTTAATTGATTTATTAACTTTAATGTCATCTACCTCTTTTATATCTTCAATAGAATGTAAAGACTCTTCTGAAGGTGATCTTTCCTTCTTTCTATCTGGTTGTACCGCAAGAGATGGTTTTCTCTTTGTACCTGAAACCACAACGTCGCATTTTTTCTTCTTATTCGCTTTATCCTTATCTGCATTAGGATATTCCACGGCAATTTCTTCATCGGAAGAAGTAATTTGTTCCAAATACTTTTCCACTGCGCAGTTAAAAACTTCTAGCAAATTATCAACCATCTCTGTATATTCTAAAACAATTGCTTAAGAAAACAATACTTAAAAAAAATAATATTATTACCATTGTCAGCGCCATTGTAAAGTCTACAATTATCGACTATTAATTGGAAATCAGTTTTAAACTTAGAATAAGTTTTGTAGTGCCCCGAATCCAACCGATCTTCCATACTTTGCAGGTCCATTGGTTTTCGTATTATTGAATAATAATTTGGAGCATATTCTTCTTCAACTGGGTCAATAAAAGGCCAAGCATCGTCATGATTTTTAACATGGTCCAAAATTTTATGTAGGCCTGTTTGCAGGTCCTCTTCTGATTGACTGAAACTGCATAATAAAGTCCCACGTGTAATTATTAAAGAGAATCATTGTAACATTATGTATATATTATTTTTTCATATGTTACACTCTCATTTAAAGAAATAACGATATTCCAAGTACCTAGCTCTGGAGGATTTAATATTTGTTGAATATTTACTTTGTTTTTGTCGATACGACAACGTTTGAATCGCTATTGTCACAAAAGCATAGTTTATATACTTACCAGGTATTTCTTATGAGTATTAACAATCAACACCACATAAAAGATAATCATATAGAAAGTAAATAGTATATTTAATTCTATTGTTGAGTATATATATATAACAGTTTAAGAAAATATAATATAAATATATAAAAATAAATACACTTACACTTGTGAAGTTTTCATTTTCTTTCTATGTGGATTTGATACAGGCTGAATAAGAATCTGCCCTGTAGCTGATGCAAGTGAGTTGTTTGTCTGTCTACCCACTGGTTTTGAGTCCTTTCCATCGTTACCTTTGGCGTTCTTGTTTCCAACTGCAGATCCACTTCTTCTACTTGAAACATCTGAAATTAATTAGAAAACGAAAAAAAATATTTATAAGTAATCTTATGTAAAAAGAAAATGGTACCAAATATTACCTCTTCCATCATCCTTTTTCTGTTTGGGACTCCCTTTGGTTTTCTTATCCTTCCCCTTGGCTCCGGCCATTTCATACCGGCCGTCGTCGGAGAAATCGCTTTCAACGTGTTCACGAAGCTGTCGCAAATCCCGACGTCTTAATCTTTCGTACGTTTTACTCCTGTGCTCGCGAATGTTTTCTTCTTGATGCTTCTTGTCTGGTTCAATTCTCCACCGTGATTCTTCGTCAAAGCCAGTCTGACTAGTTAGAACTTTTCGCTGGAGGAATTGATCCTCCTCTACCTATATAAAGGAATCAACAGACAATTGCTGCTGCCTGGTACTCATATATTAGTCATCAGTGGACACATTTTTATATTTTTAATGTTAAATTTAAAAAACTAATAATTTTGTTAAAAAAGTATCAGCTGATGATAGTAAAGTAATTCTATAGTAGTACCTTATTTTTAAGTCTATTTGAAGACCGTCTTGGCAAACGTTCTATTAACCTTTTTCGGGCAAGACTCTCCTTCTCATTGAACAAACTAGGAAGTTCTGGTAGGAAATTCTCATTGAGGGTGTAGGACAACTGGCATTCAGCCCTACATTTGGAGTTCTCAAACTTCTTAGCTAATTGTGTCCAATCATTCAAAGTGAAGCACACCACTTGCCAAATTGGATTTTTACTTTTAGGTTTATCCTCTCTATATAAACGAGTGCCATAGAAATACCAATAGGCTGATTTGTTGCTATCATAACCCAAAGGTTCAACCCTTAAGCTATCTGCTTCTAACTTTCGTAACTGCCCAATCACATCAGCTGCATCCAAACGAAAATCACAAAGAGTACTAAGTATAACAACTTTAGCTCTCAGTGGTAACAATTGGAAATCAATATCAGTGTTAAATGGATTTGTTATATTATGCTGTTGACATTTCCTACGGAAGAGCCGTCTCAAAAACATCTGATAATTTGACACAGATATCTCATTTCTGGGCTGGCAACCTTTGAGAAGTAAAACAATTAACTCTTGCAGCCACGATGTTTCCTCAGTACCATCAGCAAGTAAGGCTTCCTCAAGATCCTGCAATCAAATTAAACATTTATTTTCTTGATGATAGATTTTTCTTGAATGTCACCTCAATATCAAAATCCAGAAGGTTGAAAGTTGTACGAAAAAGAGAACAGAAATGAGCAATGCTGGGGACTTCCCACCATGACTGAATATCTGAAATGCCATCAAAGTTAAATCAGTTGGTTTGTTTGTGTAGATACAACATTGATAATGCTTGTTGGCTGTTAGATTTGTGATGAAAATCAAGTGAAGGTTAATAATTATATACACAGTAAACACACCTAGGAAGCTAATGCAAGTTGGAAACATAACCTATACCGTAATCAATACACACACAACGTCCTTAATTGTTTCCATTTAAAAACAATATCCTTATAGAATCCATACAATTTTGTGCCTTCATATATTATATACACACATTATGAACGAATTAGGTCCTCTCACGCGAAATTAAACGCCCCATTAAGATGTATTATTTTATGTTTGTTTTGCTGTTATCGCTCCGTGTATTTTGTCTTCGATCCTGGTGTATACAATTTCGTTTCTCTTATGTATTTTCTTTAATTTTTATTCCAATGTTTCTGCGGTGTTGTAAATATTTTTCAACAGTTGTCAAAATGCCGATGGGACGACGGCATTTTCTTCGCTCTCTTTCTTACGCTAAGACCACATACACAACACACTCGCTGATATTCACCTATACAATTATATACGCATACATGTATATATATATATATTCACACACACATGCAAATAGAAGAGTATATTATATATATATATATATATATCTATATTATGTATATACAAATAGCAGTTTTGACTGGTTCTGACACACACAAGTGAGGCGAGTTAGGCTTCGCACTGAATGTAACTGCAACTGAGTAACCGAGTTCAGTCCCTCTCGCGACCCAAAGTTACACTCGGAATAGAAGAACTATTGCATACAATATTTACAACCGTAACTATGCACACGCCCAAGTGGTGTGCATCATACAACAAAAATATTTATCATTTGATCGCACCTTTCCAATTTCGTCTTTCTGGCTGTAACGCGAAGTTTCCGCGGTTTAATCGACTCACAAATGAACTACACCCAACACCCGTTGGCTAAATACTGAACGTTTTAAGACTTTACCGCTTCTCAAGTGTGTTTCCCCCACCCACGCGGTTTTCAGCCAATCACTTGGCGCCTTTTTAAACAGGTGAAAGACCTTTATTTACTTTTCCATTCCTCATTACCAAACTGCAAAAAAATAAAGAATATTTCAAATTGTCTTTATTCTTACAATGCACTATATTCTCATAATACCTTCAATAATAAATTATACTCGATAATTTAATAATATTACCTACAAAGATTATACATTTCCATTTATTTCTTATATAAACTATGAATATACAATATTCGGTTAAATATTACAAATTAAAAAAAACTACTTTTACAGAAACGTTAATTGTAAAAATTATACGAAAAAAACTAAAGACATGTTAATAAATCAATTTAAGGATAAAAGACTGCGACCAATAGCCATTTGTATGACTGTATATAATAAACTTATTATATCCATACATATTATTAATTTCATTTATTAAATATAATTATAAGCAATATTATTTTCTTATAATACAAACATTTTAAAATAAAGTGAATGTATATAACTAATATTAATTAGGATAAATACAAAAGAACACTTTTTTAAAGAGATTTATATCAATTTATTTATTGATATAAATCTCTCCGGCCCTATTTCGGGTTTAACAGTCACCACAATTTTTTGTTGGTTTTTCGGAATTGAACCAACGACCTTTCGTATAAGATTATCGTGATACAAGCGACCAAAAGATCACTTAATATAGCAAAGTTAATTAAGCTTTAAAAATGTAATTTATATATGTTGGCGACACTGTTTTATCATAAGTGCTCATCTCTTTACATAATTATCCATATATGGTCATTATAGGTCCTTCTGTGTCCATCTATTATGTAGTCCACCAATTTGACGTGTATATGTACTTTTTGCTACATACAATAGAGTTCTGTATTAAATGTTTTCAGCAAAACTGCTATAAATATATTTTATTAATTACACCACACATAAAAAACGGTGACCGGACCAAACAGAACGTGACATATCAGGCAGGTTAAAACAGAACGTCATACAAGAGAACATGAAAAAACAAAACAGCGACAAAATAGTATATATATATAATTAATTATATATTTAAGTTTTATCATTCATATATTGGAATTTTAATTTTTTTTCGATGTCCTGTTCTCAGGCTGTTCTGTTTTTATGCTAGTCTGTTTTAGTACTATTCTATTTTGTTGCAGTTTTGTTTTGTCCTGTTATCTTGTAGGTCGTTCTGCTTTAACCTGTCCTGATATGTCATGTTCTGTTCTGGTGAGTTCTGTTTGGTCCGGTTACCATAAAAAACATCCCGTCAAGAAAATACTGTTATTTACTTGTATTACTAAAATTACAAAATTTAATTGGTTATGCTTATTTCAATAAATTCTTAATGATATATTATATATTATAAATAGTATTATGTATATATGAAGGCATTTATCTTTTAAATCCAATGGTAAAAAATGATAACATATATATAGTGATATATTTTAAATTGTTTTACTTTCAATCTAACTGCATTTCATTTAATCAACTTCGACGATACTTAGTTTAGTATATGGAATTGTATTTTCTTGTTCAAAATAATTGTAACAAAATACAGACTTACGAACTCTCGGACTTACGAAATAGATTCTAAAAGCTATAACTTGTTACAAGGAGATATGTAGAGATAAAATTAACTGCCAAACAAAAAATGATAATTTATTTAATAAAATATAATATTTTTGGAAGATTTACTATCTGTTTTGTTGCATTTGTTTCATTTGTCGCTTTTTTATTAACTAATTGTGATGTCTACATTGAAAAATATTTGTAAGTATTTTGTGTATTTTAATTTATTTTTTCAAATTTATGTAGTCAGTACTACGGAATAAACACCATGATAAAGTGTGGTAAGATAAATATATTTTGAAATTTTTAAAATTCCCCCGACTTACGAACAATCCTTTGGAATGGAACTTGTTCATAAGTCAGGGGATACCTGTATTATAAAATAAATTTATGATAATTATTATATATTCATGCTTTATTATTGATCTATTTGAATTCTTATTGGAATTTTAGTCATTATATTTTTCCGATGTCCTGTTTTAATATTGTTCTTTTTAATGCTATTATTTTTTTATCACTGTTTTTTTCGCTATTCTGGTTTTATGCTATTCATTATTAGTATTTTGTCGATCATTTATTTTATCCTGTTCTCTTGTGAAACGTTCTGTTTTGTCATGTTCTGTATTGGTGAGTTCTGTTTGGTCCGGTCACCAGAATGGCTACCTGTGGTTGGCAACAATGTGACAAGCAGTGACTGGTTGTAGGTTAGTGTTAGTAACATTTGGAATATTTGTATTTGCTGCATTTGTAAACATGCTTGGATCGTGACTCTAGTCCTCTAGTGAGCTCTAGTTGATGTTTGTGTATCTGGTAAATAATATTTAAGTGCTAAAATGACTTCGTCGAGATCAGAATTTCCATTGGAAGCTGTGAATGTGAATGGACCAAATTATCTAAAACAGGCATTGCTGAATTGCACAGATCCTCTAAAAGCTATTGAACAATTTCAGGTAAGATTATTTGTATTTATTTCATATAATGTGTAAATGATATATTGTATTGGTCTCCAAAATACTGGCGTTATTTAAATTTTGATAGCAATATTCCTTGAAACTTGAAAGAAATATTGCTATCCAATAATTATTTTTTTTACAATTGAATGCCAAATTAATATAAATAGAATAAATTGTTATATACAAGTAATCTATTGTTTTCAGTTTACGAATGGAATATTATTGCCATCACTTCGGCCAATGTTGCCTTTACTGGACTTGCATGGAATGCGACGGTTGGACTTCCATACATCAGTTGTTGAGGTAGGTTGTATACAAAATTTTTGCATTTAATAATTAATATTTGGATAGAAATAAATTTAGTTTATATTATTTATGTTCATTATTATTAATTAATATTTATTTTTTGTTGTAGGAACTTAGAGAGAAATTAATTAGTCATATAAATGAAATTGGCTTGAAACAAGGACCAGAAAGGGATAAGAAATTACAAGAATTACTGGTGAAGAGCTTTCCTGTTGTTAAAGTGAAGTCACTAAGACCCATAGTTATGTGCATTTTAAGAAATATTCCCACAATAGATGATAAATATCTGAAAGTTTTGGTTAGAGACAGAGAACTGTATGAGGATACTAACACTGAGGTTAAAAGACAAATTTGGAAAGATAACCAGTCACTTTTTGGCGATGAAGTTTCCCCATTATTAAGTCAATATATTACTGAAAAAGAGAATGTACTCTTTGACCATCAAAATAGTACAACCCATTTTTTTGGTCCATCACCTAAAGTAAGTAGTAAAGATGAGCAAAAATTTACTAGCAATATTAAAATTTGTATTATTTAGGTGCGTCGGCAAGGAGAGGTAGTGCAAAAATTAGCTCATATGATAGGAACTAGTGTTAAATTATATGACATGGTTCTTCAATTTCTGAGAACTTTATTTTTACGTACAAGGAATGTTCATTATTGCACATTGCGAGCAGAATTGTTAATGGCTCTACATGATTTAGAAGTACAAGATATAATATCGGTGGATCCATGCCACAAGTTTACTTGGTGTTTAGATGCTTGCATTCGCGAAAAAAACGTTGATATTAAAAGATCTAGAGAGTTGCAGGGATTTTTGGATAATGTAAAAAGAGGGCAAGAGCAAGTGCTTGGTGATTTATCGATCACGCTCTGTGATCCGTATGCTATAAATTTTTTAGCAACTTCTGCAATTAAAATTGTACAGCACTTGATTAATAATGAAGGGATGCCCAGAGATAATCCCATTTTGATTTTGCTTTTGAGAATGTTGGCTCTAGGCTTAAGCGCATGGGTAATGATTGATTCACAAGACTTCAAGGAACCAAAATTGGATAGTCAAGTGGTCACAAAGTTTATACCCGCTTTAATGTCGTTAGTGGTAGATGATCAAATAAGACAGTTATCAACCAAACTGCCACATGACGAAAGGGAAGCTGCAATTACATTAATTGAGCATTCTGGATCTTTGCCTGATGCAGTTGAAGCGTACATTCAAGAGAGTCCAGTTGCTAGTATTTTAGCCATGTATTATACGCTTCATGTGACCAGACACAAAGATAGAAGTGGATTATTAAGAGTTCTTACAGTTCTAGGAAATTGTAAAGATGATAGAGCTTATGAAGACCCGTTTTTACATTCTTTGGTAACTTTTTTTTTTACTTAATTAAATGAAAATGTTAATAATTCTTTCTTTTAGGTGGCTTTGTTGATGCATATTCCCGACGAGTTTGCGACACCAGATTTCTGCACAGGATTATTTGACGAGTTTTTCTTCGCTGGTTTAACCAAAGATAACGTGACTAGACACCTATTAAAATTACTTTGGTACGTGCATCACAAGTTACCTCCAAATCGTCTACATACTTTGATCAAAGCACTGCAACCTACTCATCAACATGGCGAGAAAGTACATGCCTTGTATCAAGCTTTGCAGGAAAAAATCAATACACAGCAGGAACCTATAGTTACACAAGAAATGGACATCGATGTTAATTCACCTTTAATGAGTGTCCCAACGCCAGCACCATTTCACCAAACAATTTAACAAGGGAGATGCTTTCTTCAGTTGGATTTTTTTTTATTGTAAATACATAATTTATTTAGTATGTGCACAAATTTTTAATAAAACTAATTATAACTTTATTTTTCTGCTATTGTGTCCTTGATGATTGGTATCAGGTATTTCCTGGAATGAAGCACATTATTTTGCTTGTATACATTTAGTTGCTCTAATGAATTTGCAACTTCTTCCAGCTGTAATTCGTCGGCTAGAATTCTTTGTTGAAGTTTTTTAACTACATCATTTCCGACTGGATAAAATGCAATATCTCTTGTAATACCATCTTCAGTTTCCAAACCCATAATGATGATTGCTTCTCCATTTTTATCTGAAAAGAATGAACTGATTGCATGTTCAAAATCGGGTCTGCTAATGAAATGCTGAACTAGCATGGGCAACCCGGGAATTAAAACATTGCCAATTTGTTTTAAATCTTTTGATAACAATTGACGAGTAGTTAGCGCAGATACATCGTTATGGGCAGCCCAGAGTTCATCGAATATTTCCAATCGTGTTTTGGTCGGTTTAAGCAATTTTTCCAATTGTTCAGCCATGGTAAAATCCAGTTCTTTGGATTTTCCAGCTTCTGGCTTAAATCCAATAGTATCAAATACAATGGTTTCTGTAAGGTTCTTGTTTTTACTCTATTGATAGCAAATTTTATATATTACAAATACCATATAACAGCTGAGCTACAGTGCAGAGACATCTATTATATATTTGAAATATTTCGTTCGCGATTAGGGTGCAACACGATCCGACTTGGGATAGGATGAAACGTACATTCTTGTCCCACTCACTAGCTTTATCTAGGGGCCTATGATCAATGATCTCTGTTACACAGCATTTCAGATGTGAGTCACTCTCACTGAGTATATGATGATCGACCAAAGTGATCTTCAATCTTTCTTGTTGGCACAACCAAGTCATGTTGATTTCATCCCTTAAATACAATACATTAGTAAGTACAGTATTATTTAATGTTATATTTATATTATATGTTCACTTGAATATAAGATTGCTTTTGTCCACTTTATATTTGTCCAAAAGGTAATTGGATTCAGTTTTTATTGGGAAATCATCAGCTGCTACATTCATCACAGGAATTACTTTAATATCACTGCATCTATACTTATCATTAGCATAGAAACATGCCAATGCTAAAGGGGCAATTGTAGAATCCAAATCACACGATTCATTGCCCATTACCACATGTACACATTTGATACCCTCAAAATTAACTTTCTAAAAAACAATAAAACATTAACTTTATTCATAACATGTTATATTTGAACTTACTGTTACTAACTCTTTTGATTGTTTTAGGTAATTATGAAAATGAATCATGTTGTACTGCAGTAGAAATAACTTATTTTATATTACATCTATTCTAGATGATAACATAACATATTTTAATTTAATTTATTATTATAATCATTATAATTGTTTAAAATTTTACTTTTATGTTGTTCCAGGTGGTCTGCAGAGAATAGATATGAACTGTCATTGTTATCACTCATTACCTGTCACATGTATACAGGGTGTTTATAAATAAATTAGATTATTAGGATACTTGGAATTTCTATATCATTTTCGGAATGAGATTTTTAAATAAAATAAGATTTTATTACAGAAAATTAATTAATTTTCCATACATATTAGTTCGCACATTTTTAATCCCTATATTTTGCCAAGGCTATTCGGTTTCGACTTTCGCAAGATAATCAGATTTTTTCTTGAGTTATTAAGTATGTTGCGTTCTTATTATTATCAAATTGTAATGTTTTTTTGTATTCAGTTAACGTTTGCTTACGAAGAAGAACGGTGCGTTGGCCAGTGCTATATGCAACAAGAAGAACAACATAGAACAACAACACCTGTTGCTGAATGGATTGGAAAAGTGGTACTTCTGGTAAGCAGAAGAGATTTGGATTCAGAGCTTTATGGATTCCTACAAGGAAGAATCGCAAACGTAACAATTATTACGTGAGACATACGGACCACAGCAATCGGTAAGTTCATAAATTTAATTTATTTGGTAATCAGCAATGAGTTATAACAACAAAGAGAAAAAAAAACTTTCTCCTTGAACATGATGACCTAATGAGTATCATTACGAGATCCGCAGGTTGCATACTCTAAGAAACTATGGAGACTAGTAATATTATTTTAATTTACGGATGGCGAAAGCCTTCAACAAGAAGATTATTATTTGAAAATTATGTTTTTTGTCATATAAGTAATGAGAGAAACGCTCTTTCATTGCTTATATTATAACATTTTAATTGTACGAAAATATATATCATATTAATAAACATAATAAACACTGTAACTCGAAACTGTTTATTATAATGATCGATACTCCGCATTGTTTATATTAGTTCTTATTACTATTTTATTTGTAAATACTGTGAGGATATATTTGTAACTGATCTCCACTCATGTAGTTGAAGAATTCAGTTTTAACTTGATAGTGAACATGTTCAAATCGGTGTCGCTGAAATGGTTATTTGAGAAAACAAGGTTGGTAAACAATTTGGTTTTGTTTTTATTTGTTTGTAAAACTAACAATAGTTTAATAAAAATGGGAGTTAGCGCAATGACGTTTTGGTCCAAAAAGTATGAGGAGATATTAGTTTTGAAGACGTTGCAAAATTTCAGTGAGAAAATGTTGCCCTTTTTAAATCCCGAAAATTACCCCTTCTTAACCGATTTCTACAGGTAGACAAAATCACATACCTTTTGATTTGTTTGAAGGCTCTGACTCACTCGCGCTTATTAGATCATTACTGCGAATCATCACAGCAAACTGCAAAATTCGCAAATACTATGTTTTATTTATGTTGTTTTTCTCTTTTTCCTGTTGCGCATCCGAAGCTATGATGTATAAAGCTATGATGTATAAGCTAAAAAAAAAGAAAAACATCTCGCAAACGGGAACTGCTCAATATCTGAAAAACAACGGTTTCATCGTCACTGTTAGGTGAGTCTGACTCGATTATTAAAGTCCTATTCTTTAAATTAACACAGCCACTTAATTATAGTCCATTCGTTAGCTTTTATCTTAGAATAAACAGTCATTTGTTTCAGCTCTATTATGGCAACTGATTCGCCTACTCCCGATCACAGTGATCATATCAACTATTCAGCGGACTCAGGGCGCATGACTCCGCCTCCAACCACAAGCTATTCGAAACCGGAAGTTGTAGTCGACTCGTCTTTAGCTGTTGAACCAACGAAGGATGATAAAGACAAAGATGAATCTGATTTTTCTAGACCTGACGCGAATCCTGATTCTAATCCGGAGAAAGTGGATAGTGGAAAAGATAAAGGGAATTCCAAGAGTAGTGACGGAGGAGCCGCCTTCATCGATAAAAATAAAGAAGATGGCAAACTTAATGGCGGTGATAGTAGATTAGAGAACAAATGGATCCCACCCCCAGCTCTTGTCGATGATAAAGATGATTCCGAGGAAAAGGATTGTGCAGTAAACTGCATTTATTACACATTGCAGTGTTGTGAATGTACCATTACATAGAATATATATTTTTAATCATTTTAAAATTCAGCCATTTATTCTTTTTGTTTTAAACATTTATAAACCAATTTTATATATTTATGTACAGAAAATATATGTAAAAGGAATTAAATATGTGTATTGTATGATAGTGTTCTTTTTTTAATAATACAACAAACATTAGAATGTATGGTTTGTCCATTATTTAACTAATATATTATATACAATCAACAGAATACTGTGGATATGTACAAATCTCTAAATAAAATCTCTTAATTAATATATAATAAATTAAAAAAATAAAATATTAATAATAGTTAATAGTTTAGAAAAAATAAACATTTTCACTGCTTCTTTTCACTTTCAATGTAGGCTTTGTTGTCTAAACCTAAAGCCTCACTGTCACTAGCCTTTACAGCGTCGCTGTCTTCATCTCCTTCCTTTTCGATGTATTTGTACCTCATCGCCATCAAAGAGAAAATCACCATGTCAATAACCATTAGGCCAGAGTATAACCAGAAATTGTTCGACTGTGAAGTATATTAAATTATTTATGAAAATAAAAAATATATTATCTCTAGAGTTATTCTATTTACCTGAAGTTCGAAGATTTCAATCGATTCAATAATGATGATTATAATGTTACCAAATGCGGTCGTCAGTAACCAACAAGCTTGGACTACGGACTTCATGCTTTTTGGTGCCTGAGAATATGCAAACTCTAAGCCTGTAACTGAGAACATGATTTCTCCCATTGTGATGATCACGTATTGCGGAATTAATAGGAGTACGTGGAGACTGTTGGGTTCTGTTACTGTAATTACGTTGCTTTTCTGTAAAGAATATTGATATGAAAACCTGTTCATTATCTTAAAAATTGATATTTACCTCTACATTTTCTTTGTCAAAAAGTACAGCATAAACACCACCTAAACTGAATGTAAATTTGCCAATTTCAACGTCTCCAACACTAACAGTGTAGTCGCCTGGTTTATCTAGTTTAAAGGCTGCACTGTAGTCACTAACCTTACTATCCTTTACAAGTGTACCATCTAACCTGTATTCAATGATCTCAGATTGTTCTGTACTATGAACAAGAGTTCTTACTGTTGGTAAGCCTTCGCTGTCCTTAGATATATCATCCTCTATCTCTTCTAAATATTTTTTGTCCTGGAAAGTGTATCCAACGATTTTACCAGTCTTGAAAGTTATGTCAGGATTTTTTAATTCTTCTTCATTACACTTGATCAATCCAAATTTAGACTCTTTATTTGTCACAAACTTGTAAAATTGAAGAGGTTCTATGATAGTATTCTTTCCGTCGTATTCAATGTCCAATTTGCAATCATGGCGATTATTGTAAATATGTACAAACGAAGTTCCGGATTCTGGACGTAATGGTTCCTCTGCTTCAATAGCCATAGATATTCCAGCTGTAATAGCAAAGGCAACGGCTGCAAGGAGACCTCCTACCACAAGACGTTGCAATGGTGTTCTCAAAATTTTCAATTTATTGAAGATCGGGTATATGCAATACTCGAATAGTGGAATGAAAACGAGGATCAGAACAGGATTGACCACTTGCATTTGATCGGGAAGGATTGTGTAACTTCCCAAATCACCGTTCATGCGTCTTGCTAAGAAGGTCCAAGCGCTGCCTTGCTGATCGAATAGAGCCCAGAAAACGGGAAGCGGAATGTACAAAAGCAGCACTCGCAGAGTCGTCTTAATCTCATTGACCAATTGTGTTCCGAATTTTTCTTCAGCGTAATCCAACCAATGTTCTTTCTTCACATGTTTCTTTGTTTTCGATTTAGTTACAATAGCATTCTGAAAAGTATATTGAAAAGTCAAGTTGTATGCTTAACAAACGATTTCAGATGATTATTACCCCAATACATTTGCTAACTTTAATAACCATGTTTCCTTCAGGTTGACGCATCCTGTACAAACGCTTACCAGCCGCGAATATAACTTAAACAAAATTAAAATTAGTCCAAGGAAAACAGTAAAATTAAGATGATTTACCGATTGAAACGATCATCAGTGCTCCGGGAATACCAAAGGCGAGAGGGAAGCAGTGAGTTTCGCCTAAGCAGGCAGCATTTCTCAAAAGTGGTGTAATGAACGTCGATATAAAACTACCAAAGTTAATGGCAAAGTAGAACATGCTGAAAAATGTTGTCAATTGACGTTCTTGCTGAGGCAAGATGAATTGATCACCACCGAAAGCGGCCACGCAAGGCTTTATTCCACCGGTTCCAAGTGCGATCAACACTAGACCAACCATGGAAATTTCTGTGTGTGGCATATTAATGGCACTCGTCGAAGATACGGCTAGAACAACGCTCCCCAGTGCATACACTATGGATAGGTAAAGTATAGTCCGAAACTTTCCAAGGTAACTGTCTGCAATCATCGCACCGAAAATGGGGAAGAAATAAACCAAGCAAGTGAAAACGTGAAATATGATTGTCGCTTCGTGCGGCGTATACAGCAGCATGTCCGTAAGGTAAATGGTAAGAATTGCTAAAAAAAAAGATATTTTTTTAAATATCACCACTAATAATAATTAATATAAGTATTTACTTCGCATTCCATAGTAACAGAATCGTTCGCAGAATTCATTGCTGACGATAAAGAAGACAGACTTAGGATATTTAACTTTCTGCGGAAAAAAGTAAGAAAAGCAATTAGTTTAATGGCACCAATAATTCTTCCAACATAATTAATTGGAAGAGAAAAACAAAGGAAAACATTCAGATCCATCATAATCGGGGAATTATCTATTGATTCTAACTCAATTCGATAATAATAAAAATATTTAATTTTATATGTGTTTTATATATATAATAAATAATGAATTATTAATATAACCATTTAATAATTTTAAACTTAATTGTATTATTAAAAGTTAAATAAGATTAAATTCCCTTCAAATTTATAAATATAAAATAAAAGCAAAATGTCTCATATTTAAAACACATTTTTGTTGGTAATATTTATTTATATATTTCTGCGTTATTTATTGGGTTATATTTGATTGCAAGAAGGTGAGCTATTATCAACTGATATTAATCCATTGTTCATGTAAATCCACCTAGCTAATAAAACGGCAAAACATTTGCGATATTCGTAAATTAATAAAGGAGGTGAAAAAATATATACCGCTGTTATTCATTAAAAACAACATGAAAAATTTTATCATTTATTATTCATTATTTTATAAGTAGATAACCGCTGAATGATATTAAGTGTGAAATAGACATCGATCGGTTTTTGGCAATAAAAAATCTGAATCTAACAAACTTAATAAAAAATATTTGTAATTAAGAACGTGCACAATTTGTATTAATCGATTTTAAGGAAATTCCTACAAATTAAAATACAATTAAGATTTTTGCAGCTTTTTAAATTTACAATTATATTTTAATTTCTAGGGTACTCATCAATACTTTAAGTATTGTAGCACATTACCATAATATAACTCAACAAAATACCACAATAAGAAAATTAGAACCAAATTGATTTGTTACAAAAGGCTAGTAACCGATTTTATGAATCTTATTATCAATAATATTTTGTATACAATATGAACATAAGAATTTTTCTTTTTATGTATCGACTTATTATAGTAAAATATATCTTTGCGAATCACGGAATTTAGATAATTATATTAATAATAATATGGATATTTATATTAAAACTATTGTAGAAAAATACTTGAACTGAATGTGCGTCCTTAATACAATAATGATATATATCCAAGGATTATGGAAATTATTTAAATATGTATCCCATTATATGTCATTGAATCAATATAATTATATATTACAACTTGCTATCTTTTTCATTTTCAAATAAAAATTACAAATATGCAAATTTAGAGAAGCAATTATTTATTATTTTACAATTATTTTACAAATGCTGACCTTGATTTACAACAGCATATAAAAATGATTCGTACTAAAAAAAATGTTGTTTTCTTTTATAATATATTTAGCAAAAAACATGTAATATTCCATTGGTGAATCAAATATCATTACATAATCTTGTATTATCGACCACTGCTATAACTTCTGAATACTATAAATTATTTTGTTGAAGTTTTTCAAAACGTTTTCACTGCAATTTAATTACGAAATTGAGTGAAAGCATGATATATTCAGAATTACAAGGAGAAAGTCCAATTTAAAAAATGTTCTCAAAGGGAATAATATTCATTATATGGTACATGTTACCAGCACGGTGTAAAAGATTAACTTCAGTATGACCGACATAATGTACTCTTACATCGTAATTATCAAATCGAATCTGTGTTCATTCAATGCAATCAGAATGCACTTCACCTGTATTATGCAATGCACGCAAACCAATTGAATTTAGCAGAACTGAAAACAATATTCGCGATCGAATTATGTCACGGCTACACGATTTCGTCACCGTGATTAGAAACCGTTAACTTGAATTTAATAATAATAATTATCAGTTTCTTCTCAACTACTATGACCAGCTGATAAATATAGATAAACATGAGCCAAAATCAAAAATAATCATTTAAAATTTATCTTTTTTTTTCGCAATATTTATTTACGTTCTACATGTTTTCATTTGGAAAGTTTTTTTGTCGCGCAATATAAACCTGTATTTTACCTCTTTCATTTTGTTTGTTGATTGTTACGTTCTTCTTTGAGAAAACAATTGATGCGCGATATAAACACGATCCTAGCCTCCTAATATTACTTTGTGTCTAAATTAATTAACCGTAAATCATGATAACGGTCTTTGTCGGTTGGAAGCGGTTGTAGTACAACTTCAATTTGTATTTGTTTTCATACACTGACGGCCACTTGAACTTGAAATTAAGTCAACGAAGTATTCGAATCGTCGTCGCTCAAGCACTGACAATCAGGCGCGCTCACATACTGACTGGATAACACTAGCATGTGTACTTGCTAAAGAATCATTCCTACGTCAAAGTGTGAAAAGAATGGACGTGGAGACGAGAGAAAGGTGCGCGAATTTCGTTTGTTATAAAACGCGCATCAAACAAACTCATTGATCATATTCGAAGCACCACGTTTGGAAATTAATTTTATATATATAATAAGAAATAAAAAACGTTTATATATTATTGTACTCCAATGTTATTAAACCTAGAGCTACTTTATTTCAATAATAACATTTACTTTATTATGATTATTTTTGTTTTAGCCATCTATGGAGTTTATAATATTTTTTCAATTCTTGCATTATAGACATATTTTACCACTTAAAGTGAAAATTATAATACTATCGCGTATTAAATATGATTAAACTGTATTGACTTAAATCACATTGGTTCTAAATATTTTATTTAAAACACTATGTATTAACATTTCTTTCTGAGATTTCCTGCTAATTTATTTGTTGTGATTCTATTCTTTCTTAACACTTCAATAAACATTATCGTAAATAACTGTTAAATTGCATATAACATACTTTTTACTTCAAGTAAATAATATATTGCTTTATTATTTACATTAAAATATTTCCGTGTTTCTTTGTAAAATAATCATTATTATTTTATTCGTATTCTATAGATTTGGAAAGAAATTATTTTGATGACAAATTAAATAACATATAAATAATATTTATACACGATTATTATAACAAATAAATACATTGTTTTAACATATCATTGAGACTGTTTATTGTGCTACAGTGCAATGGATTAGTTGCATTAATTTTACCGTTTATTAATATAGCTTTTTAATATATTGTAAGAGTCATATCAAAAACGTACAAAAAGTAAATACATATAGACAATTATTAATAACCATTTTTTTATATTAATATTAATTATTATACTAATATTTACCTTCTCTGGTTGATTTTCAATGCTATCCACAGTGTTGTCTTTCATATCTGGATGTGAATCCGTTTCAGTTGCTGTTTTGTCAACTGCAAAATAATTTAAAAAAAATCATAATATTATAACATGTTTATTTATCATAATTAATCCATTAATAAAATATTGCTTGCATGAAGTTACATGCACGAATTTTCCCTATTCAAACTTTTATTTATGTTAATGTGAGACAAATTAAAAAATATAATTTTAATTGAATGTATTATTTATTTACATTTTCTCTAGATTGTGTGTACTACGGGGTTTCTTGTAGTATACTTGATAATAAGTGAGTAAGTATATCGAAGCTACTAATCAAAGCTCAGGGCATTTCTGATTACTGGGGACATCTCAAGGATATTTCGATTTAGTATATTCGCTTTTCGTGTAAAAGAATAAAATGAAACAACTCGTTCGTTAATTTATTCGGCTGTTCCAAATAACGCGCATCAACAAATGATTGTTTTCTTAAAACCATCAAAACATCGAGGCTTTGTTTTCGCGTCAGCGGATAGAACAATAAATAACGGTATTAAATGTGTAACATATTCGATTCTAATTAAAAACGTTCAAAGTTTAATAGGCAGATTGCAGTTATCTCTAGATCTAGCGAGTTAATAAATGTTTTTACCCGAACATAATGCTAACATAATATACAATGAATTCATCCACAAACAAAGAAAAATCCCTTATCTTATCTTGTCAACTAATTGTTAATATTTATTAAAAATGTATGTATATATATGAACGCTGAAAGACTTTTTTATACTTGGGAGTTGTAGATAAAAGTATTGATGCTCGGCAGTATCAATGACTGTCAATTTGAGGTGTCTGAAAATCTGGAGCGAGGACGAAACCAAAGGAATAATGCGTGTACATCTGTATATACACACAAATAATTGGCATTCAAATTATTTGAAATCCGCGGGTCAAGTTTCCCTCTTGACATCTCATAAAGTATAAGTAGAATCAATTCGCGGCCGTTCAATGTCGCAAATAATTAACGTCAAATTTATTATAAAACTCCACAACTCCTCCCACGTTATCGTTCTCGATTGAAAATCTTTCTCTTTCGAGTGCTGGAATTTTATACCTTTGAGATATTATTGAAAAGATTATATCTACCAAACAATATGTAATATTCAGCTAAATTCCCGTTATCATAAAAAACAAGTTGCTTTTTAAAATCCAGTGTCGATTTATTTTTTAATATTAAATATTTACTTAATTTATATTCTTCTTATTTATTTACTTATCCATTCTGACTAAAACGATAATAATTTTAATATTATTAATCTTTCAACAATATATTTATTAAATATTATATTGTAACATATAAAACATGTTTGATAAGTAATTTGTTTTCTGTTTAGCAATCTGATACGAACAAATATTTATCGAGAAACTTATTAGAACATTGTATTTTGTTTTTAACGTTGTTTTGTATTTGTTGATTTTTTTTAGACTTCCGTAAGAAGTTTATCTGGATTAATCATTAATGCCTCATACAATGACTTTATTGGTCGGCTGCTATCAAATAATAAAACATAGTAATCGCAACTTTGATTATTGGTAGAAAATAAAAATCACACCATTCATTTGATAAAAATGTTATTGTTGTGAATAGAATGTGAATAATGTTTGTTTTTGCTTCTCTTTGACTAATTTCATATTGTTTCCACACATATAATAAGTTTTATATTATTAATTCAATGATTGCTCTCATAATAACTTGCAAATATTTATCATTTTAAACTAAATTTCAGATAATTTTAAATAAGTAAACAATTATTTCATTCAAAATTTAAAACTATTTTATATTTTTGTCATATCAAAAAAAAAATAAGATTATCGCATTGAATATAAAAAAGTTGTAATTTCCAATAAAATATCTGATATTAATTAGGTTAATGTGTATTACAATTCTTCTCTATATTTAAATTTTATAGGAGCCAGTGGAAACAATTGATACAGTTATCAGTAGTTAACGATCGATTGATCCGATATCGTTATCAAGCTTGAGAGCTGTCGAACATGCTTCATTCTTATCTCGCATTCACTCACATAAAATCGGAATAGTTTTAACATATTATCTTTACCATCTATTTATTTATATTTACAAAGCACAGATAACATGCTCATTTGATATATCAACATATAATACATAAATGGTAGATTAATACTAGGCAAACATTTCGTTTTGCAATAGTAAAACGTTAAACTGCATAATGTTTTTTGATGTATTTAAAAAATAATCCAAATAAATTGTATTTGTTTGTAAAATCCTAACGTAACTTGCCTGTCATGGTGAATGCACCTTTCTGCTCAGCACTAATTCAATACAGTCGTCTCAGCTTGAATACTTTACTACAAACTTCCTACACCCTTCGTCGATCACAGGTGTACTGATAGTTGCGGGCCCGTGCCGACTCTGAAATATTGTAAGAAAGCACTCGAGATAAGGGCAAACAGAGAGCACAATGGGCGCGAACCGAATTATAGTACTTCATTTTTAATCGTGTCATCAAATTTTTTTATCGCGGCGAAGTGTGTTATCATTTCAAGCTGATAATTTGGTTTGAGTTTAGGTGTGATGAACGTGTACTTCTGCGGTCCACCATTAAATTTCATCTATTGACTATTATTATTATTGGCAAAAAATAGAATGAATAAAATATAATTGTGATTTTCCTTCGCAATAGTTTAGAATAAAATATGATATAATAATTGTCTGTTTGTGTCCTTCGTTGTGAAATGTATATATTTATTATTAATTATTTAATGCAATTTAATAATTAAATGAAAGAAAGATTGTAGTCTTTTAGTCCAAATCAATAAATATTTGTTATTTGTTAAAATATTACTATTTTGAGTACAAAAAACAACATATTATATTATTTAATTTTATCAATAATGTATATTCATAATAAATGATCAAATTAGGTTATGCTGTTGGACTTCCAAAGTCTAGAAAAAAAAATCATTCACCAAAAAATGATTTTTTACACAGTAAAAAAATATAATAAATAAATATTAGAAAATAGTAGAAATGTGAGATAAACGATTATATAAAATGAAAAACAAGCGAATGTTAAATCACTTTTAATTATCATCATTTATAATATTTGATTATACAACGCTTGACTTCGATTGTAATTCGTATTTTTAAGTTTATGATACTTATCTAATAATATTGTAATCTTAATAACTTTATACAATAATACCTTACATGGTGCGGGTAATCAGTTTTGTAAATATTCCGTGCTTTTCGAAGAACTAAATACATACAATAAACTACACAAAAAGGATTTTTTTTATTATGTCATAGTATATATAATTTACAATCTTATTCCTGTGAACATTAATTAAATCTAATGGCGGTAGACATTTGTTTTTGGTAAACTTGCCAATGGAAGTTTTTACCATTATATTCTTCTGAATTTTGTTGGTTGGTTGCCGTATTGTAGGTTAACTTCAGTATATTGATACTCTGCGATTCCACTACTCCCTTTGACTGTGTATCTGCTGCTATCCTGAACACTGTCATTGTCAATCGACTTGGCTGAAGGTCCATATGCAGAACCTCTTTCATTTGACTGTCGCTTCATGATGAACGATGGCCCTATTGCTGCAAGCACCGAGAGGGCACTCAAAACGCCTAGCTTGACCAGGATTCGAACCGGCGCCCACGGAAAATAACCATTCGGCTATTAGTCAGGAAAAATATGTATTTTTTTTAGAATGTATTATTTATTTTGTTCAATTACACTTTAGTTTGTTTTTAAAACTGGACTATAGTGAATTCGGACTGATCAAAGCAGCACAATGCGAGGTATGGTTCTATACATAAAAATTAGATGCATTGGATTATAATCAGTTTTGCCAATATTCCGTCCTTTTCCAAACCGAAGAACTAAATACATATAATAATAAACCGCACAAAAAGGAAAAAATATGTACTATTTTTGTTAGAATGTATTTTTTATTTTACTCAATTAAAATTTAGTTTGTTTTTAAATCCGGACTATAGTGAATCCGGACTGATCAAAGCTGCACAATGCGAGGTG